AATTTTCTCAAATCTTCACGCACACCTTAGAACTGATAAAGTGAGTTGTAAGAAAGTACAAAATAAACCAGAGCAAAATAATTAGGATGACATTTTTCTTTAATCTTAAAGCTCTCTCCATTCTATTATTTCTCATAAAAAAATCCTTTTTGCTCTTTATTTTTTAAGTATGAATGATTCACTTATCTTCATTCTTTATTACAAAGGAGAGATTAGGTAAAGTGTTACCCCTTAAGTGAACGAAAACTGCTTCGCTAAAAAAATATGAAGCATTTATTTTACATGTAGCATCTTATTTGTTTTTCCGCTAGACCAAACCTCTTCAATTGGTTAAAAACTAGAACTGTCAACAGTTTAACTTCTAAGGTGGGAAACAAAAACCAAATTTACAATAATATGTAGAGATTCTTTGTGAGACGATTAACGTTACAATAGCTGATCGTAACTATTCATTTTGTAAAGGATCTTGAAGCATTATCGTTGTCAGAAAGCAAATACCATGGTAAGAAAATAACATTATACATTTTAAGTAGCACTACTTTAGTACAGAAAAGCTTCGTCAGATCCTATCACTAAAAAGACCTAAAGAGGATATTGTTTCATTTCTACATACCTTTACGTGTTATATTCGTAGAGAATATTGCTTGATACAGACAATAATATTGTATTGTCGATGTTGTTGTGTGCTTGAACTAAAGGAGAATCCAGCGTATTTATACTTGAAAAATCTCCTTTATTTCGTGCATCCAACCATATCGAGAAAAATGATGACCATAGTTTCTAGACATGCCTGGTTTATTTCCAGTGGAAATTTAACCATCGTTTTGCTTGTTGTTTCATTCGTCATTCATAAAGGGGAAAGGTACCTCTATACAAAGTGACTAATGAATATGAAAATATACATATAATGACAATGAGGATATTGCCATACCTTACCTTGTTCTTTTTTGCTTGTTCTCTCCCTTCTCCTTCATACCGATGGACAATAACCATTAAGTAGCAAATAATTTCTCATCATAATGTATTGCAACTACGGTTAGCTTTTTCTCAAAAGGTACATATTTTTCCCATTTGCAAAATTTGTCTTTCTTTTGTTTCTTCTTTCATTCATCCTTCGTACAAATGTATGATGCTGATAGGAAAAAAAACATGCATCACAATGTGCGAAAAACAATAACATGCATATGATCATAACACAGGTATTTTTCTTGTTCGTGGAAATTTTTCCCTTTAATCGCTTGAATATTTTTCATTTTCATTATGTTTATTTATTTTTGTATATCTTGATTTAAAAATTAAAATGAAATGAAAAAAAAATTATTTTTAATAATTATACTATATTTAGAACAAGTATTGTTATAAAACAATGACTTGTCATTTCACGAATCCATGTTGTCTTGTTCAGATGTTGTAGAGGAATGCATGAGTTTTTCTATTCAAATTTATCTTTCTTTTGATTTGTGTAGCTGTTTTTATTGAGCGTTTGCATATTAATGCTATCATGACGATGTTTTCCAACTTCTTGATGGAGAAATAAATGGTTTCTTTGATGCACTGCTTTATCTAATCAATTTCTTTGTCAATAACAAATACTTTAACCAAAACGAGATGTGCATTAATAACTATTATCTTGATGATGTTCTACAATCTATGAATTGCATTTTAGGTCACGCTTTTTTATTTGTATTTTGTATTGTGGTATTTGTTTATTTAAACCAAATTTTGTTCCCTCATTATACATTACTCCATACTGACGTGTCACTTCATAAAAATTCGATCTGGACTTTTGTTTAACTGGGTTCGTATCTGCTATTTGAAGCTTATTATGGTCACAGAAAAAGATTTGAATTTTTAATAGTTCTAAGCTCTGTTTTAGTACTACTACTTCATGTTCAAATGGCAACTGTAGTAGTTTTAATGGATTTCACGGTTTGTTCAATATATTTATCAATAATATGTGTTGGATAATCGACTTTATATAAATTGGTTTAAGTTCACTTAAATCATCTTGTCGGTTATCATAATTATTTGCTGTCTCGATTATTAAGGATGTCATGCTTTGAAAAATATTGATTTGAAGAGACTGCTGATGATCAGAATAGTAATTCTATAATCTATCGTATGCTGTATGGTTTCGATACCACCTGATACCAGTCGTATTATGATTGTTTTTGGTAGTACTATTGCTTTCATATGCATAAGTTAATCTAATTTTACTTTTCATTTTATTAAGATCTGCAATATATATTTTATCATCATCAAATAATGTGACGTTTTATTGCTATAAGCAATTTTTTCAAAAAAAATACAACGTTTGCAACACATAAAAATAAATTCTACATTTTACAACAGAGTAAATGCAAATGAAAACAGAGAGTCATTTTTCTGTTTGTTTTTCTTTTTTTCCTAGTTTTAATAGTGACATGGAATAAGGTGGCGACAGTAATAGATTGTAGTGATGAATAATCTCCAGAACACTATTAGCGTCATACTCCACCAAAAATAGCTGGTTATTTTTGAATGTTGATGCTGTTCGAGTCATCTTGAGCTAGTGATTCATTAATTAGTGAATACATTGTTTCAATTATTCTTCTTTTATTCCAATTCTTTTTTTGTTGAACAATAAAAGCATCATCAGTGTCAAATAAACATTGATGACAATTTTGTTCCATACATTGTATCATTCAGACTTGTCATCAAAGTCCTTGGTCGATGTGAAATATTGTTTCGTTCTTTTGTCAATACTTAATTGTGTTTCTTCATAGTACTTTTTGTGTTATTTACAATCGCATTGACTTTGTTAAACAAAAGATTGAACTTCTTTTAGATATAAGGGGTATTTCCATGGGATGTCAACCACGCATACAAACGTTTTCTCAGATTTTGATGAAATTTTCAGCGTTTGTAGAGCTTTTAATTCTAAGCATTTTGATGGAGATTGACTAAAAATACTACCAGCACTAAAGACGAACAAAGCGTGTTTTTCTCACCGCTTTCCCAACAGTTTTCGGTCCTTTTGTACACCGAAACAAGGTCAAAAATAAAATCTCAGACCATATTCGGATTCTTTGCGAAAAGGTACATCGACTCATATTAAATATGTCTGAACTTTTGAAAAAATTGAGGCGTATATGCCTCACAGACCACATGCCAAAACAGCATTTCTTCAGTGCTTGATTATTCCAAAAAGCCGAATTGCTCGATCGACTGGTATAGTGTATTTGATAGAGCTTCGCCTGCTCTACAATCCCTATAGTACAGAATTTCCAGTGTTTTTGATACACCTAAAATATTGGGTCTACTTTATTTTCACCTATATCCTTAGGAGAGGATTTGCCACAAAGCTGTTAGAAAAAATCTTTTAATTTTCGTTTCAGTTACGCAAAACGAAAGATCTAGTCAAACTCCAGTTAAATTCAAAATATCAGGTCATTTGGTTTTACGTAAGGAAAATGCGAGCTGAAACAAGTATAAAGAGTCTCTATTTCGACTCCGAACAAGTCACTAAGAAAGGGGTGTGCTCAGTATTTTGACATTATCTCTAGAACGGCTTGACAGTTTGAGGTTGGGAATGTCTCATTAGATAGAGAACAGTATAGGCTACAAATTCATCTTAGTTAGGTAACCGATGTATAGGATAAATAAAACGGCATAAGGTCAAAAACTGTCAAAGCTCAAGAAATCTCACCTTCATGGATAGCGGTATTTTGGACTGTTTTTTCGGTGGGCTATGCGCTACTAGAATTTCTTTTTTTTACCAAACATATATCTGGTCAAGACACATCTTTTGACATTAATTTGTCTAGCACAAACCATTGACGGGTAAAGTTAGCAAGGACCACACGATGGTCAACCCTACCCGGTCATGATTAATTCTATCTCTGGCAGTCCTTGCTAACTTCACCCCTTAGTAGTTTGTGTTAGACAAATTAATGCCAAAAGATGTGTCTTGACCAGATCTATGTTTGGTAAAAAAAAGAAATTCTAGTAGCGCATACCCCACCGAAAAAACAGTCCAAAATACCGCTATTCCCGAAGGTGAGATTTCTTGAGCTTTGACAGTTTTTGACCCTACCCCGATTTATTTACCGTATACATCGGTTACGTAACTAAGGGTGTTGGTGTGGGGTAGGGTGTGGGGTAGGGTGTGGGTGTGGGGTAGGGTGTGGGTGTGAAGAATCATTTATTCGTCTATACCCACACCCAGCCACACCCAGCCACACCCACACCCACACCCACACCCACACCCACCCACACCCACACCCACACCCACACACCCACACCCACACACCCACGTCCACACCCACACCCACACCCACACCCACGCCCACACCCAGCCACACC